TGGCCAAAATGAATCCTTGAAAATATTTTTACTTTCCAAATCACAGAATATAAATGTAACAGGGGCATGGGTTTCATTTTAAAATATGTTTAGTGCGTGTGTGTGATTCTGTTTTAAAGCTCTTTGGGGTAAATAGCAGTACCTAAAAACAAAGCTAAGAACATAGTTAGATTTGAGAGGAATGTTCTAGGGAAGACTATTAGCAAATTCATGACCCAAAGTCTGGTTTGGACTTCTATATTAAGCCATTTGTTGGTTTAAAAACCTTCCCTTGTATATCAGAGAGATTGAATTTATCTGAGTAGAGAAATATAGTTGTAAATTCCTAAATGCTTCTGAAATTCACGTGTATTATTTTCTGACAGGCTTTAAGGATTTAATGACTATAGGATTTAGTTAAAGAAAAAAAAGATTTAAAAATATTTGCAGATAAATTCTAAGAGGATTTTATTTAACTTCCTATGTTGATCTGGTGTTATTCCATAAAATTAGTACAAACTTGTTATTTGTTGTTTCTCAGTGTGTGGTGTACACAGGATTTTACACTGTGAGAGTTAATGTATTCTAGTATTAATTTGTGTGTAGACTCAGTGGCAGGTTTTCAATGTATAGCAATGTTATAAACACTTTACATTGAACAACTTAAATGAAAAGAGTATGTCTATTTAAAGAGATACAGTAGTACCTAGTGGTACATGTGATAGAAATTGGGAATATTAATGCATAATTAATTGAAATTTAGGAAATATTGGCTTATTGGTAAGCAATATAAATTATGCTGCCTGTAGTTTTGTTTTATTGAATCGTTCAGTAAAAATTCATAGTTATTGATAATGTATGTTAGAATACTGACTCTTTGATTTTATTTTTAGGAGTACACATTAAATTTTATAGCTATGATTCTTCTTTTTGAAGAAGAAATTGTGGCCAAGCCTGCTGGAGCAATTGGTAGCAAACTGAACTGCAGAGCTGGAAGCCACATGGCAGACCACAGATTTGGGTTTTTAGGTCTGCTTGAAAACACACCAGGTACACGTACACTTGCCTGAGGTCCTGAGGAGCTGCAGGACTGTGGGAAGGGTCTTGCTAGCATGATGAGACCCGTCAAGGTGCTTCTGTTACTGTCTCTCTCATATGCATGCATGTGCTATCATGAATAACAATAAATTTAGGAAAACAAATTTGTACAAAATACCAGAAATCAAAGAAAGTTCTCCTATCCCTCTCTATTTCTTACCCCAGCTCTATTCCTAAAGGCAACTACTATTAACAGTTTGAAGTCATCTAATTTTTTTTTTTTTTGAGAGGTATTTGCTATAGGGCGCGTGTGCTCGCCAGATAGACAGAGAGACAGAAAGTGAGAAATCACCCCCTAGGGGGGTTGGCCACGCCACAGTCCCTTCTCCTCCATTCTCCTCTCGGGATCTTGGGCACACACGAACATGCGCCCGGTGGGAGCTTAAGCTACCGGGTCTGGGACGCGAACTGCAGTTGACTATGTGGGAGTCCAGCGACATAGCCATTACGCTAACTGCTGGTCCTGAAGTCATCTAATTTTTAAAAAATAATTTTTAAGCACATTTTTAAAAAGACATTTTAATTTTATTTATTATTATTATTTAATTTGCTATAGGCATGTGCACTTACCAGAGAGAGACAGAAAGAGAGAGAGGGAGAGAGAAAGGAAGAGAGGGGGAATGAGAGAAAGCAAGCTGACAGGTCTGGGACTCGAACTGTGGTCGACCATGTGGGAGTCCAGTGCTTTAACCAGCATGCCATCTGCTGGCCCCAGAATCATCTAAGTTTTAGTTAAGTGTAATGGCATTCAGGACTTTAAAGAGTCAGAACCTTTTCTCCAGGTTGCTTCCAGGTGGGTTTAATATTATCAAGTAGATGTGGTGGGATTATTGTGGGCTTTGGAATCCCAGCTTTGGAATACTTCTTGCACAATAGAGCGATGTGAATTTGGAAAGTTTCTTACTGTTCTGAGCTTTAGCTTCCTTAACTGCAAGGCTTAATAAATGTTACTTCACTCCTGAGCTTTAATATGGCCCCGTCTGTTCCTTTACTGTCTCTCTCTCTCTTTAATATGGAGACATAGCTGGGAAGAACAGGCATAGGAATAGATGGCATATTTTCTCCTGGAAGAGTGGAGTTGCAGTGCCCCAGCACGCATCCATTCGGTAATGGCTCAGTTATCAGGGGAACATTTCTCACTCCCCCAAGTACTTACGTTCAGGTTGTAAAAGGTCAACGTGTAAAAAGAATCCCAGGGAGTCTTCCTGGAATTTAGATGGTCTCCCTTGGGTTTCACTTTGCATTTATTAAAAATTTAGCACTAGGATAAAAATAAAAACAAAGGTTCTCATCTTACAGTGTGAGAATGTGGTTCATGTGTGCTAAGTCACGCAGGTAAGATGAGGAACAAAGCCCTGTGGGGTAGCCAGTCTAAAGAAGTATTTCATGTGGGCTGGTGCCTCCCTCCTGCAGAATGACTGCTTCCAAATGAAAGGGAATTAAAGTAATTGCTCCTGAGTGGGGCATGTAGTCTTGCTTTTCAGCGGTGGTTGTATAAGCTTTAATTATCTAATCCAAACACAGAAGTCTTCTACAGGCAGCTTTCCCTTTTTGCAGCCATAGTCAAATCTCCAGTCCTGCACACCTTTAGTCTTGAGAAACCACGGCACTTTTTAACCAGCTCTATTAGATAACCTAGCCATTAGGGTAGAGTAAAACCTTTTTGTAACACTGGTTCCTAAAAATGGTCTTTGAAGCTAGGGTTAGTTTAAGGGAATTTTTGTAACTATTTGAGCTGCAACTAGTCATGTTTCTCCACTTGTGGAATCTGTGCCTCCCATGCTGATCTGCAGATTCTATGGTTATTTAGTTTTCAGTGCTGCTTTTTTCATACTCAGTTTTCTTCGGTTGGTGCGTATGTCAGACCGTCATGTCTGCCAAATGAAAATGGGGCTTTGTTATAAAAGCTAGGTGTATTTTTTATCTATTTATTTTTGTATTCTTTGTTTAGATAATTCAGAACTGAGTTGTTTTAAAGCCCTGAAGTTATTATTAAGAAATATGTACAATAAGGTTCACCTCTTTTTTTTTTAAGATTTATTTATTCATCTATTATCATTATTAATTTTCAATTTAACCAGAGAGAAACAGAGAGAGAGAGTGAAAGGGAAAGCAAGAAAGCAAGCTGCCAGGTCCGGGACTTGAACCATGGTCTGCCAGGTGGGAGTCCAGCACCCTCCACTATCATACTACCTGCCAGCCTCGGTATACCTTTTTTTAGGAACAGGGACTCACTCAGCCATTCTTGTTACTCAAATATCTACAGTTTTGACGTTGGGACACACTAAGGAAATAATGTCATTAGTCCTAGGTAGAAAGGATTTTAGGAATTATATTCATTTCAAATGGTAGAGGGAAAGAACTAATGCCCTTGCACCAAAACTGAAATATTAAATTGTATTAGGAGTAAAACCGAACTCTACCTGTGACTTGTATTGTTCTTCACAATTCTGGCTACTGTCTGGCTTTCTTAACCCCTTTCTCCTCTCTGTCCAACTCACCAAGATCGTTCCTGCCTCAAGGACAGTTGCCTTTGTTTTTGTTCCTGCTGCCTGGAAAACGCTTTCTCCTTTCCCTTGGCTCATGCCTGGCTCTTCCCTCCAGATCTCACATTAAATGTCACCCTAGACCCCTCCCTGACTACCCTATCTCAAGGAGCCCTTTGCTATTCTTGTTCTAGGACCTCGCTTATTTCCGTTTCAGCACTTAGACTATATGTATTTTTGTTAATTATTGTCTTTGCTCCACAAGAATGTAAATTCTACTAGAGGAGTTATCAATATGGGATATAGCACCTAACATACATTGTATAGTCAAGAAGTTGATTAAGGAAGTTGTTTATTATTTTTAAGAGCACCTTTGATTTTTTTTTCTTTTTTTAAATAATAATTTATTTTATTAATTATTATTATTTTCTAATTTGACTGGAGAGAGAGAGAGGGAGAGGGAAAGTGAGAAAGCAAGCTGCGGGTCTCGGACTCAAACTGCAGTCGGCCATGTGGGAGTCCAGTGTCCCCAACCACCATGCCACCTGTTGGCCCCCCCGCCCCTTTTTTTTTTTTTTGAGAGGTTTTTGCTATAGGGCGCGTGTGCTTGCCAGAAAGACAGAGAGAGACAGAGACAGAAAGTGAGAAATCACCCCCTGGGGGGATGGCCACACTGCAATCCCTTTTCCTCCATTCTCCTCTCGGGATCTTGGGCACACACGCACACAGTGTGAGTTTAAGCCACCAGATCCGGGATTTGAACTGTGGTCAACTACATGGGAATTCAACGACATAGCCATTACTCCATCTACTGGTCCCAGCTTTTGATTTGTTTCTTAAGACTACTTTATGTTGCAGGACCAGAGAGATTTAAATATCCCTGGTATCAAGCCAAGGCAGTGTTTTCCGTTGCCTTGACCTGCATCCATTTCTCCCCGTTTCATTGTGATTTTGTTGAGTATACAGAAGGCAACACCAGCTTTCCTCACAGTAGAGAGAGACCTTAGTGAACACCCGATGGGCACTGTGCTTACTGTGAGATGCCTTTAAAAATTTACCAGACATTGAATTAACTCTCTGAAGGACGGAGAAGACTCCATGATCTTTAGTGAGCGCACAGTGTAACAACGGCTGTGCAGTTGCCCCTGCCACTCGCTCTGTCTGCTCTGTGTGCCCTTGTAAACTGCCCTAGACGGCCTCTTCATGGAGCTGCCTTCCATCTCCAAGCTCTCAGCCATCCTCAAGCCAAAGGCTGCTGCTCAGCTTTAAGCTGAAAAGGACATTTTGGCAACTCAGTTGTTGTTTAAAGATCAACATTATCACCAGGACAGTTGGTTCTCAAAGCGGAAAAAGCAAAATGCAGGTGTGGTGAGTAATTAACTTAGTTTCGTGTCATTCTTTGGTGGTGTTCTAAATTTTGCTATTTATCTGTCTTAGGTAATCTATTTAAAGAAGACACCAGAAGAAGCCTACAGAGCACTCCTATCTGGCTCAAACCCCCCGTATATTCCGTTCAGGTATAACTGTTGGTGAGACTTGGCCTGTATAGCACTTGGCTAGTGAGCTCGCTATTTCTGTGTTGGATTATGGTGGGCTTTTTCTTTTCTTCTTTATATCAAGTTAATTTACTCAAGAGAGAAAGCAAGAGAAGAGAGGCAGGCACTCTCAATGGTCTCGAAATTGTGATTCATCCCCAGCCAATCTCTATCACAGACACGCCTGGTGCACCCAAGACCTTGGGATGTGGACTCAGGACTTTCTTGGACATCTCAGAGTATTTTATCATTGCTGCACAGCGGCTCAGATTGTGGTTTTTCTTTTTCTTTTTTTGTTCGTTTGTTTAGTTTTTACTGTACGGTGTGTGCACTGGCCAGAGAGATAGAGAGGGGGATGGGAAATCACCCCCCCCCCAAGAGAACATAGCCATGCTGTAATCCCTTCTTCAGTGTCCTCTAATGATTTTGGGCACGCATGTACATGCACCTGGCAGGATTCTCAACCTCTGGTCTGAGACTTGAATGTTCAGTTGACGCTGTGGATCTAGCACCTTAATCTCCATGCCACCTGCAGGCCTGACTATGGTGTTATTTAAAAAATAAATAATTTTATTCATCATAATCATTATTTTAATTGAGGGGAGAGAGAGAGAGAGGAGAGAGAGAAGGAAATTGAGAAAGCTAGGCCTGGGTCAGTTATGTGGTCATCCAGCACCTTTAAGCACCACACCACTGGCTGGCCCAATTATGGTGTTTTTGTTTTTTCCTGAGACAAAGGCCCTTTTACTCATGACACAACTAACAGGCTGAGCATCACCATATTTGATTCATTTCTTCTTGCTGCTATGGGACCAAGATGTTAGATGGAGTGAAATGAGATGGTACGTTTTTTATTTTTTTTAAACAATTATTTATTTTAATTTTATGTATTATTATTATTTTTAATTTGCTATAGGGCACTTATACTTAGGAGAGAGAGAGAAAGAGAGAGACAAAAACAGAGAAAGTGAGAAAGCAAATAGCCAAGTCCAGGACTCGAACTGCAGTTAGTTATGTAGGAGTCCAGCACCCTAACCACCATGGCACCTACTGGCCCTGGGATGGTAGTTTTATTACTTCATTTTGCAGAGCTCTTCGCCCTCTAGCTAGTAAGAATAAAATAACTTTCTCCTTTTAGGACATTAGTTCTTTTTCCCTTGAATTATTCTATATCTTGACTGTTTACTTGTAGCACACAATACCTAATTTATGAGCTAATAACTATGTTAAGATTTGTTAAGTTTCGGGAAACAGCAGTTAGCGTAATGGCTATGTCACTGGATTCCCACGTAGTCGACCACGGTTCGCGTCCCGGACCTGGTGGCTTAGAACTCACGCCAGGCACGTGTGCGTGTGTGCCCAAGATCCCGAGAGGAGAATGGAGGAGAAGGGATTGCGGCGTGACCATCCCCTCTGGGGGGTGCTTTCTCGCTTTCTGTCTCTATGTCTCTCTCTG